TTTGTACTTGAGAGGGAAACGCCTCCGCGATTTAATGACAGCTTTGGTTCTTTGGCGAATGGGCTGTTGTCTCTTTGCATGGGTAAGTATTAAAGGGACATGGACACAGTTTCAACTGATTTGTTTTTTTTTTAAACAAATTTTAATGTTTACAATTCCTAATTAAGGCAAATCAAATGATCAGCAGAAATTTTTAAAACATCTAATTGTTGATTTACAAAGATTATACAGAACTTAAAATTCTTCATAATCTAAACAAGGCTCGAGCCTTGTTTTTGTTTTCATATAGAAAATATCATATTTATAACAAAATAATATTCAGTAAATCACCAAAAAATTGTCCAATGCTATTTAGAATTAAGTTCTTTATTGAAAAATTTGCTCTGAACGAATATATATTAGTATATTTAACCTACGTAAACAAAAACATGACACGGGCCTTGTTTACATAACAAAGATTTGGAGCTCTAAATCTGTCTTGTATCTCGACAACTGAAATTCAAACTTTTGATAATCATTAAGAATAATTATTTGCAGAAAAGACGGAAAAATAAGTTTGAAAAATTTCAGTTGAAACTGTGTCCATGTCCCTTGAATTAGGTACAAGCTTTTTAATTTGGAATTTACATATCAATTCTTGGAACAATATCTAAGAAAAATTTAAATTTTCTGTTATCGCTCTAACCTTGACACGCTCTCTTTTTTGACAACATCAGACAAAATTGAACGTTTCCGCCCGACATCCATTCTCCTGTCCTTCTGATCATTCATGACATGATCCCAAAATGGGAAATCAAAAATTTATTTACATTATTTCCTCTGTGTGTCTGATTAATCATCGTAACTGTCTCTACTGCCGATTTCTACATTTTGACGTAAAAATGCATTACAACTCGTTTCAGCAGTTTTCTACCATTTCGACATTTCCTTTGTTCAATACCTCAGATTAAAACAACAATGTTTATGATCAAAAAGCAATGACGTCATTTTATTTTCAACTTAAAGACTAAAAATGTCTTAAATTTTTGTCTTATAAAATATTGGGTGATTAGACGCGTTTTTAGATGCTTTTCAATGTGTTTGTCTTTTTTCATTATAACAATATACGCTTGAAAACGTGACGTTTAGTTGTGACGCGGCGACACCCCTTATGTTTCAAACGTATATAAAATTAATTCAATGAAACATTATTAAATGAAAATTTCAATTTTGATTAGATTTATTTTGGTGCATCTTTTAATACATTACATTTGATAATATAACGCCAAATATTAAAGATATGGACACAGTGACATTACTTTTGGATCAACCCTCGTATTTTATAGTCCACGGAAGTAATTCATATTCTTTCGATACTATTTTTAAGGACATTTTTCTCCTCACATTTTCAGGCTGCTGTTTCGTTCTGTGGAGCTGGTGACCTATATCTGGGTCTATGAACACTTTAACCTTGTTGACCTCCCGTGGGACAGTCCGTGGACCTGGTTATTAGGCTTCCTGGGGGTGGACTTCGGATACTACTGGGTACATCGATGCGGTCACGGTAAATAATCATTCTACATCACTCCACTATAGTATATAGTTATGAGAATAACTTTATGAATTTTAACCAAAATGCTATTTTTTTAATTTCTTAATTTCTTAAGATATTCTACCGGTACTTTTAACTCTTTTTGGTGTAGCTGGTAAACAAATACAAATAAAATGTACATTTAATTTCACTACTCTCCACCGCTAATTTCATAATGACGCAGAAATAAGCAAGTTTCCTTTCTATCCATGATTTTGCATTAGTCAACTTAGTTCTGATTAAGGACAGATGATACAAACAAACTTTTGTCAACAAATATAAAAATAACAACTTGGCTCATGTTTTAATTAGTAAAATGAATAACTTTCACTACGTATTTTGTGTTTTTAGTTTTTTTTTTTCTCAAATTTTCAGAAAAATTGGATTTGAAGTGAAAAAATATTTGTATAGATTAATAAGGATGGTTTCAGAGAGGCAGAATTTTGAACATCATAGAAGGTTTACAATTTCTTTATATTGAAGAAATTTATTTTTTACATCATTTTCAATGAAATAAGACCAGAAAATATATACCAATCCAGGCATCCATTTTTTTGCTTGTATCATCTGTCCTTAAGAGTAAAGTAGTTTGTTGCATCATTTATTCGATGTTTTGCGTTCAACATTTTCAGAGAAGTATAAATCTACCTATCATAATAATGCTTATCATGATATATGTAATTATATATCTCCAGGGCATCTGATCCCACCTAGTTGCTAGCTTGCCATTAAGATTATGGGTACTAGTATATGAAACAAATGAGTAAGATTCTGCATTGTCTTATAATTTGTGTAGATATATCGGTCAATGTAGGTAGGAAATTGGATACTGTTTGCTTATAAAACGTCGTAGATAGACGTATATTTAATGGTCGAATTGTAGACCACAATAAGATTTGTCTTTTTTTTCATTTAAATATTTTTGAATATATTCTGTTACTTGTGAAAAAAAAAAACAGGTCTGCTAATAACACACGACAACGTATGTAAAATATGTTCCATTAATGTTGAATAAAAAAAACAACAATATATTATGTGTCTTGAGAATGTGAAATGTGAATGAATTCTAGGCAAGTTGTTTAATGTGCAATTACAACAAGTAATATATGATTTTTAAGGTATTATAGTTCTTGTAAGATAAATAAAAGCCTTTTCATGTACATATTTTATGTAGAGGTCAATATAATGTGGGCGGGGCATCAGGTCCACCATAGTTCAGAGGACTATAACCTTGTGACTGCCCTCAGACAGTCGGCACTTCACAGATATGTTGGATGGGTAAGAGTTATCGTCCTTGCTAGAAAGAGTTAGCGCTCCTGAGCTATTATGAATGTTGCTGTCTTAACCTGAAATGTCACATCACTGCATTAGATTCCATCAATATATCATACAGAGACTTTCCTCCTCAAGTAACTTTCCCTTCTTTTCCATTGAAAAAGAAGTATTTAATGAATTGTGATAGATTTGAAATAGCGTGTGTTTATTACTATTATTATATAGCTATTTACAATTTAAGTATGCACAAAAAATACAACAGAGGAGATATCTTTTTTTATGAAACAAAATGAAAAATTGAAAAAAATATTGTAAGAAATAAATTAAAACAGAATTCATTAAAATAAGAATCTGTTTCATAGAATTTTTTAGCAAGGATTGCTTATGTAATTAGATTAGAATTTAGATTAGAATACCTTTGTATTACTGACCACCTTGTGTATATTATCATGAGAAATCCATTGTTTACCATTCTAACACTTTATTGTAATATAACCACACAGGCCAGGCAATCATTTTGGTTCTCTGCTAGTTAAATGTCAAACTTCTCATAGTGTAAACTTGTAAGGCATTCCAATGAAATTAAGTTTGACCACAATGGCTACATTGACTCTGAACTTTAAGATGTGGCAATTGATTCATAGTCCTGCAGATATATATGAAGTGTGATGGTCTTCAAAATAGGCATAAACAAAATTACAGACGAAATAAACCCACAGTGACAGATGGATGATTCTTTAAAATCTCAACCTTTTAACTAGAGGTATAATGTTACTGTGAAAACTTTGAAATAATCTGTTTTACGGTTTATTTTTTGCTTTATAAAACCAATTTTCTGTTAAGTCAGACAACGCAATTAAAGTCTAAGAAATTGAAGAACATTTTTTTCTCAATCCAACAAATATCGTTATTGGGACCTCGGTTAATAATTGTACAATTTTGTTACGCAGAAGCATCCAGAATGCTGGTTTATGTCAGCGTAATGTCTTCTTGTTAGGAAACTTGTTTCTGCTTTATAGGTCTTAAGAAAGGTCTTTAAAATGTTAATTACAAATTTATTGTTAATGAAATAACATTTAAATAAAAAGAATAAGCCTTATAAAGCTTCCCCCAAAATCTCTATCCAATGCAGAAATGTAGATCCCTATAATGAGTAAACGTCAATTAAAAGAAACAGGTATTTTATATTTTTAATAAATAGCAATGATATGCATAAAAATCTTGTAATTGTTTATTAGTTGCTTTTCCTTAAAAAAAAATAATTGATTCAGTCGCCAATTTGTTTTTGTATCCACTTTCGCGCGATCTCTTGAAAACTACGGAAATACTAATACATGAACATGGTTTAAACACGATGCCCTGGAAATTCTAGAGGTGGGATCAGGTGCCTAGGAGGAGTAAGCATCCCCTGTTGACCGGTCACACCGCCACAAACCCCGTGTTTTATGTTAACGGAACATTTCTAACTCAAATTTAGTATAAAAACTTTTTAAGTCAACGGAACATTTCTAAGTAAAATTTAGTATAAAAACTTATAACAATTGATATGAAACAAGTCTGTAAGCTTAAATACTACCCAGTGATACGACCCAGTGATACATTTTATTTGTAACATTAACAAGGTCATACCAACGACGATAGAATATTATCAAAATGCTGAATGAGAAAAGAATTCAATTTTCATATCCAAAATACAATATAATATTTCTATAGCGCGTTATAATGAAGATACTAGTACTCTAGTGCACTTAATATTAAAATATACATACTGTAAGTATACAAAATGGAGAACAAACCACTTATACAAATACATATATTTGTGCGTAAAAAATAGGATAATTAAAAGATCTTATATAAACTAAAAGACTAAGAAATATTACTAATGTTATGCGCATTATCTGTGTCACACACCATGCCAAACTCGAACCCATAACCTTGACTTAAAATAAAAAAAAATATTTCAGAGTTTTAAAGGAAATAGTTTGCAGAGTTAACAAGCAAATTCAAAGAATTATGTTCCCCCGCTTTCGGTGTCTTTGTGGGTGAGATATAATTTTTTGATGACATTTTATGTCAAATATGAATGCCCTATCGTATGTCATTTGGAAATTATCACCGAAATTGATTTTTAGAAAAAAAAAAATAAGATTAATCGTGAAGGTCAAGGGGTCAGAAATCATCATGCTCGGAAATATCTTGTCACAGGCAGTGCATATATGAAATACGAAAGCTCTATATCTTATCAATCAAAAGTAACTGTATAAGTAAAAATTAACAATTTTGAAAAGTAGGTCAAACTTCGAAACTTTTAGGTCAAGGTCACAAGAACAAAAATCATAGTGTATTAAACATATTTTTAGCATATAGGTCACAGTCAAGGTCACAAGGTCATTGATCTTGGTGTCATTTGAAAGAACTTGATTAGTGAAGTATGCATACCAAGTATAGTGTCTCTATCTCTCATGACTCAAAGGTCATGATGAAGGTTCAAAAAAGATACTTTTCGCATATAGGACATAGTCAAGGTCACAAGGTCATTGATCTAGATGACATGTGAAAGGGCTGAATTAGTGTGGAGTCTGCATGCCAAAAAATAAGTCTCTATCTTTCTTCGTTCAAAAGTTATGGCGAAGGTTAAAGTTTGGAGACAAAAAAGCTATATTCGGCGTATAAGACAATTCAAGGTTACAAGGTCATTGATATGGTGTTATTAAGAAGAGCTTAATCAGTGGTGAATGCATACCAGATATGAAGTCTCTATCTTTAAGGGTTCAAAAAATATGGAGAAGGTTAAAGTTTGCATAAAAAACTATTTTTAGCATAAAGGTCACAGTCAAGGTTACAAGGTCATTTACCGTTTGAAAGAGCTTTATTAGTGGAGTATGCATACTAAATATGAAGTATCTTTCATTAAATTTAATGATTCAAAAGTTATGGCAAAGGTTAAAGTTTTGCAGACAAACAGATAAACAGATAAAGAGACAGGACAAAAACAATATACGCCTATCTTTCGTTTCGGGCGCATAAAAATTACGTTAAATGTTCACATGTTCATTTATGGAACGCCGTCACTGCCTTATAGCAGCACACAACATTGCATTGCGTCAACCTTCCACTACATTATGTCAACACTTTATGACATTTACTCACACTACTATTGCATTGTGTCAACCTTCCATTACATTATGTCAACTCTTTATGACATTAACCCACAATACTATTGTATTATGTCAACCTTCCATTATATTGTGTCAACTCTTTATGACATTAACCCACAATACTATTGTATTATGTCAACCTTCCATTATATTATGTCAACTCTTTATGACATTAACCCACACTACTATTGCATTGTGTCCGACTTCCATTACATTATGTCAACTCTTTATGACTTTAATGTCAGTCTTCCATTACATTATGTCAACTATTTATGACATTAAGCCACACTCCCCTTGTATCGTGTAATTTCCCTTTTACATTATGTCAACACTTGATGACATTTACACATACTACAATTATATTTTGTAACTTGCATTTCGTTATGTTTACTGTTCATGACATTTAATTAAACAATAATTACACTTTTCAACCTTTCATTACATTATCTCAATTCTTTATGATATTATGTGAAAAGCTCATGTCATACATGTACTGTGCGCACTCTTCTACATTATGTCATTCACTATTACGTTATGCGAACACGTGTATCCGCGGCCTTTATATGAGCATAACGTTTTTTCCCGCGTTCCAAAAGCAAAAAAAATTTGGGGGGGAAAAAATGGTGAAGAAATTCTTGGATTTTGGAATGGCATCTTTAATTAAAACTTTAAGCGACAAATGACTGACAACCTTTAAACGTGCAAAGCCTTAACACTGCGACTGTGCTTTAAAGTCACTCAAATTCAATGGCGTTAAACTTCTGATCTTACTAAGAACATTGTCATCAGATTTTTTTTCAGTTTTAACTTTCCCTTTTTTTAAAAGTGTAAACACATCGAATAACACACGTGTACTGGTGGGTTGGGTTGGGGGCAAAAATCCCCCCCTAATTTTAAGTGACCAAAATATACATAAAATTCATAAATTTATTGGTTTTACTTTGTAGGACATTGCATTAGTTTCACATTAAGTTTAGCTGAATTACTAGTAAGTTGAAAATTTTTTTTTCTAAAAACTATAAAGCCTGAGAGCTTCTCTTCTTTCCTCCTTGGTCTCCAAACATTGGAGTCGAAGCAAATTGAAAGTGTTGGAGGGGCCTAAGTGTAATAAATTTTTTTATACCTTCATAAAAAACCTGACAAGCAAAAAGAAGAGGGGGGAGGGGGGGGGGGGGTTTGAAAACTCACTACTTTTTTTCTCAAACAACCCCCTTTCGACATTATTTTAACCCTTAACTACAACGTGTCTGTGGAAAGTGTTTGGGGGGGGGGTTTAAAGCTACGCAGCGATTTTCTTGCTATAATGAGTCTATGAGGAAAAAAATGGGGGGGGGGGGTTTGCCCCCTCCCCCCCCGGTTTCCGACGCATATGCCAACCATATACCGTCCCCCTTCCTTGTTCAAGATTCCCATATCCGCCACTGCTATGTCCCATTAGTTACTAACTAAGGCATATTCAATTGATTTAGATGGGGGACTGGTAATTTTTTGTAATAGAATTCTGACCCTAGAATGGTTAAAAAATTTCTAATTCCAGTGACGTAGCATTTTTTTTGAAAGGGGAGGTACCCAAAAAAAAAAATAATATTAATTTGCCCAAAAAACTTGACAAGCCCAAAAAATTGTCCAAGCCCGAAAACCCTTTTTCGGGGGGGGGGGATTCAAACTTCGATCAGTCCTATTTTTTTTTCAGATATACTGCATTGCCCTCAGTGGACTATACTTCAACAAAAAGTGGGGGTAGGGCTGTCTTTCAATGAACATTACTTTTTTTTTTATAAATTTATTCTGGGAAAAGGGGGGGGCTGTTATACTTCCTAAGCAATCGGGACCCCCCCCCCAACC